AATGTATCACGTAATGATAACGCCAATTTGAGAACTGTGAATTATCGACCGGACCAATGACGACTAAAACCCGTATAAGCAGTGCAGAATCCTTATCGGTCCTTCTTTCTGACTAGACTTACCTGTTGAGACTAAAATACCAATCCTAGACTCAGATATAAATCATGTATTTCAAGAATACTAGGTTTATATATAAACTAAACAGACCACATCCTACCATAAAATAGAAAATAACATTTGTACAAGATTTAGCCAAAAGTGACTGTGAATGTGTAGCAGTTTGGTCAACTCTCCCGGTCTCCCACATTATACGAGCATTTCATATACCTAAACTAATGGTTACTGTGGTTGTCAGAAAGGGCATCAGCCTAGTGACTTCCGAAGGAACCCGACTTTCACCACGACGAGTCATAATTCTTCTAAATAAAGACCTTCTAACTCCGTTGGGAGAGTTTAAATGGTTTGAATTATTTTTCCTGGTTGACGTTTCTTTTAGTGAGTTAGTTTTCTACAGGACGGGATCGCCAACCCAATGCCCAACCATCCTCCTTTATCCGGGCTTGAGACCAGCAGTAGTCCAAGAAGGGCTCTAGGGGGAGTTATGAAAAGTTTTAATCACCCATTAATTAGCTCTGAACATTCATCTGGTGATAGGTAACACAAAATGGTATATTTAGAACCTTGGAAGATCCTAAAATTCTTGTGTTATTTAAATATATAGAGGGACATTACAACTAAGTTGTTCAAGCTTCAACTAATTACCTGTAACAGTAAAATTCATTGACATAATTTGATCATTTTAAGAAGTATATGGTATGACATCGATTAATACTAACTGATCATTTAGTATACTGAAATTTACAACTGATTAATCATTTGATAATGACTAATGTTATATTTATCTAGTCTTTGAGTGTCAATTGAATTTCATGTACCAAGTTGCAATATGGTCACTAATCTAAGTTATTCTACATTGGATGAATTATATTGAGAGGCTAGTTAGTTGAAAGTATTGATTAGATTGAATTGAACCGAAGTTCTATGCTAGTAAGTACTTGTTAATGTGGTGTACCTACAATCATGAGGTAACCATTATTCCCTATAAAATTCAACCTTATTATATAGTAACTTTTATATGCTATTAATAGAATTTATAATGAATACTACTAATATTTAATATTATTTTTAGGTCCATCACCTCCATTCAATATTCAAGTCTATTGGAAAACTCAATATATATTAACAATTGAATGGAATCTACCAAAAGATAAAGAAAATATAGCTTATTTAATTATTCATTATGCAAAACAAAATAATCCAAAATTATGGCATAAATATTTTGTAAAAGATTTAAAAACAACAGAAGATTTAGTAAGTAACCAATTTGGGATAATCAATATTGTTAATGTTTAGTTGTTAATTCACTATTTAAATAGATAACTTTGTTTTATTCAAGATATATTGAATGATATAATACACTGGAAACAGTTATTACTTAGCATAATTATAACTTTTAGAAGCATTCTATAAAAATCAGGTTGATTTGAATCCCACAAGAAGTTTCAGTTCTTTCAATACTAAGGATATGAGTTATTGATGACTGACAACTAATACGATGCTTCTGACTACCTTAAGTATTATTTAGTTATTTAAATTAATGACCACATTGTAATTTATATCAATACGGGATAGACATGAATAATGTTTGTTTATATTTAGTAATCAACTAGTGTAAACGTTCACTTGTAACTAGGATATTCGACCTTGATATCCAGTGAGAATTATAAAGTACCTAAAAAATACTATCCTTAGTGTTAACAGATTTCTATTGAGGCTAAAAACTTTGAACCAAACAAGTAGAGTTTCATAATCATGATAAGTTTGCATACTTAATGAGAAATTTGTCAAAAGAGAAGATAGATTTGATATACTCACTTCTAAGAATATACAATCAAAAATACAAATCTAAATAACTCCACTTCCCATTTAAACTTCATATCATTTTTATAAACGAAGATGGATGGTATTTAGCAGTGGAATATAAGACTCGCGTTTCGTCTTATTTGAGACTTGTCAGTTGAATGTATCTGCATCTGAGGGTTGATGTTCACTCTGCGACTCGAACCATTCGCTTCAAACGCCATCACGTTATCCACTTAGCTACTGAGTCCTGATAGCCACCTATTTGTGCCATGGAGTGAAGTTTCAATTCATTCGGTGTTGTTTACTTTTATCTTGCCATTGTTATTTAGAACTGTAACTGATCAGTCTCTTATATGCACATGTGCATCCTGTGAGGATTGCCTTGATATTGCCTTGCGTCATGAGCTTCATAAGTGAATATGGATAGGACAAGCGTTTTATCCCATTCGGGACTCGTTAGCTGGATGTACCTGCATCTCAGATGAAACGCAACTCCTGGATTCCACTGCTAGCTACCATCCATGTTTTCTTATAATGCTTGTGACCTAAAACAATATCGAGGCAATCCTCACAGGACGCACATATGCCAACAAGAGACTGCTCAACTGTTGTCCTAAATAACAATGGTAAGATACAATTAAACAACACCAAACGAATTTATACCATTTTTATATACATATATCATAAAGATACAATATAAACTAACCAAAAACAACAATTTAACTCGAACCTTATCCAAACAACTGCCAATTATTGAGAGTTCATATTAGTAAATTGATTCTTTTCAACAAAATAATCATACATTCTAACCTATTTATTATGGTCATATGTATATAACTTTAATAATCACTAAACTGACAACACAAATCTCTTTATGACGTCAATGATATCAAATTGTAAATCTCATTTTTATATATTCACCTATTACATAATATAATAAGTCATGTTAAAGGCTATAAGTTCATTTTATTTTTCTTTCATCTAAACATAATGACGTATGAAATGACGAAATAAAAAAAATAAAAAAAAAAAGAAAAGAAAAATCAAGTCATTCATCTAAACAAATTACAATAAGTACACAAAGTATATTCATCATCTTTAAAAAAAAAGGAAAAAAAGAAAAAGAAAAGAAAAACGAAACAGTAACAAGAGACCATTTTATTTGTTAAGTAGTTGGTTAAAACAAAAATTAAAGATGTTCAATACACAGATGGATAGAAAACACTTTTGTTGTTGTTGTTGTTGTTGTTGTTATTCGAGTAACTGTTACCCATGTTGAAAATTTACATTCTAAACAGTGATTCATATATAATGATAAATATTTACTGAAACTAATATAGTAAAGAAATTTAAAAAGTATAATGTTATATAACATGTTTAGAATTTAGTTTAGAGTTATGTAATAGATACTATTTATTCTATTCCTTAATGTAAAGAATGAATGAATCACTTAATATTTATTGAATTATTAAGGTTAATGATAATATATAATGAGTATAGACAGCGCATCAGCATTCTCCAATCAATTCTGTCTTGGACAATACTTTCCCATTGTTCTCAGTTGCTATTTATCATTTTTATGTTTGTTTCCAATTCTCGGTATAGTGTGTTCTGTGGCTTTGTTCATTTGCATTGCCTTTCAATATTCCAAGTCAGGGTTCGCTTCATGATGCAACGTCTTTTCCTAATTTTCTCTTCAGCTCGTGGCTGGATTGTTCACTCACACAGTAGACTGTTGTTGATGGTATCTGACTAATGGATATTGAGTATCTTATATAGATAATTGTTTATAGATACTTGTACTATTTTTGATGATGGTTGTAGTAGTTCTCTACATTTTAGCTCTGTACAGTAGGACTGTCTTAATATTCGTATTGAAGTTATACAACTATTTCCAGTTCTATGGAAGGCTATTTATGGACCGAATCGCTCAATAGTAATCCTAATCCGTAAAGAGTACAAGTACGCCTTCTTCATAAGTTTTAACTAACAGGAAACTGAGGTAAGGCAGGGTATTTCGATGATTACCTTTGACTGCCTAATATACAAAGAATGAAGATCTGGCAGTATGGTATTCTGATAACTGTTGAATTTTATTCAAATGCCAAACGGATCTAATTTAAATAATCACTGAAAGCCTGGAAGAATTGAAATATCGTTTTGCTCATCAGCGGTGCGCTCCGATGTCCCCGCAACTGGAAATCAAACCTAAGATCTCTGCCTTCGTTTCTAAACGTTTAAACTCTAAACGATTGACCTGGGGTCCAATGCTGCATTAATCTAATTTCAATCAGTCTTTAATATTGCGTGACCATTTTGCACTAATTTGAGTAGATAACTCTTAACACCACACACTATTGACTTCCAGTGATCACCGCTTCTCACTAGAACTCCGGAAATCACTATTCAATGACATCAAGAAAGTTGATTCGTGAAAATTTGCTACCGATAGTCATCCAAAAAATTTTAAAACGTCATAGTTAATTTACTTCAATTTGACAACTAAATTAATGCCATCTGAAAGCAAATCGACCACTAACCTATCCAGGCAGCAACTGACCCCGTATTAGACTTGGATATTTACAATTGATTGATCAGTGAATGGTAACTGATGTCATGTTTGTCTACCCTTTGAAAGCTGGTCGAATTCTATTGATTTATTGATCCATTATAATTTGAAAATTTACTATATTGAAACAATTATGAACATACTTATCATAATTACGAGAACTCAACATTTATATTGTGTTGCTCAGGACATTGATTAAGCTTTTCACATATGAACTACGTTGTTATCAAAAATGACAATTGCTGATCTCATTGAACCCACCGAACGATCTAAGTTAGACCACTTGTAGGCACTGGACGGTCATTTTGCCTAAGTGTAGGACTTCACAGAGGTGCACATCTACGACTATGAAAACGAGAATCGAACCCAGAATATTTGAACAATAAACCTCTAAACCATAGAGACGGGGTCTAATGGTGCCAATGTTTAATTTCAATCAATCTTATTGATCTAATTATAACCTGTTTTTTTGACAAAACGTAACTTCATTTTATTTATTTATTTGTTTAATAGTTTTTGCCTTCACAAATATTTTTTAAATTATTTTAGGGTAATTTAAGTCCAGATGATGAGTATTTAATTCGTTTAAGTTCAGTTGACCTAAATGGGAATGAAGGTGAATTATCAGAAATCATTAATACTAATTCTTATCAACATTCAACAATAAATGACCATAGTAATGGTAATATTAATAATAATAATGATATGAACAATAAGCGAAATCATAATTTTATATTCATGGATATACCTGATCAACCAGAGAAATTTACTGTACAAAATTTTAAATGCATACATAGAACAATGAATACAATTACAATTGAATGGTTACCTCCGATACATTTAGCTAATCTAATTGAATATCAGGTAAGTTATTGTTTAAACAAAAACTGAGATCTATATTCACGTTGAACATAGGATATTCTGAATTTTATAAACGATATAATCTATAAACAATAATGGATAGTGGCTAGCAGTGAAATATAAGACGCGCGTTTTATCCTATTTGGGACTCGTTAGTTGGATGTACCTATATCTCATAGTTGACGTTCACCTCAGGACTCGAACCCAGTACAGTTCGTTTCAAACGCCATCACGTTATTCACTTAGCTACTGAGTCCTGATAGTCAATCGCTTGTGGGGAAGTTTTAAATTCACTTTGTGTTGTTTACTTGTATCTTCCATCTTTGCTTATAAAACTCATGACCTAAGGCAATATGGAGGCAATACGCATAGGATGCACATATGCCAACAAGAGACTGATCAATTGCAGTCCTAAACAACAATTGTAAGATACAATTAAAACAACACCAAGTAAATTTAATTTATTTTTTGTAAATAAAATTATCATACATGGTTAATTTTCTTTATGAACTACTATTAAAAACCAGAGGAACACTGGACAACGATTCATTCAAGTGTCAAACTCGTTACTTGATCGGACATATGACCCTATATATACAATCTAATAAAAAACTTTCAGTTTATATGATGAGGGTGATAATTTTAAAGTAGTGAATGATTTTGACGGCGTCCTCATAGGCTTTTTTCGACATTTTTCTAGACGTTCACTTATTGTCAGAGATTGTTTAGTTTCAGGCATATTTTCATTAATTAGTTACATCTGTTAGTTGCTTATAATTATACTCCTTCATTAGAGTGGTTATAACTTATAGAGAATCTAATTACTGAAAAACTCAAGGCATACTATCATAATGATTTATTTGTTTTCATGCTCAACTATTTTTAAAGAAATGGGAAACAATTATTATAGGATTTATACATTGAATGTATATTCAACAATGAAAGTAGGTATTATTACAGCATGATATATGCTAAACATTTGCACATAAATATGAATACCAGCTTCTTACTATTTATAATCTTCTTATACACTTTTTTTATGGAAGGTTCATAATGTGATTGATTAAAAGTAAGAATTTCGTCGCATCTTTACACAGATTTGTGCTCAGAACTCTGTACTGTAATCAAACATATGACAGTGAATGTAGCAAGCATCACTATTATCATTATTTTTCTTGGATTTCCAGCCTTAATTAATCTGTAGTATGTTAAAATCACATAATTGTTATTATTACTATCAGAAGGGGGTTTTGTGAAGATTTTATTAATTTCTTGGTTGAATTCATGAGTCGATTGAGACTAGAACACCATGGAAAACCTCAAAGCACTGGATAGCCATTTCGTCCTAGTATGGGACTCATCAGAGGTGCGCATCCAAGATCCCACCTCGCGAGACTCGAATCCCGGACCTATTGGTCTAGTACGCAAACGCTTTTGAATTTTACTTAAAGTAATTTACTTGGAATATTTTAAATAAACTTAATTTGCAAGAACATTCAAAGACCAATAGGATAAAGTAGATAAAGAAAACTTGTTACTAAGGCAATACCTTCTCATGTTCATATATATTTCAGATTTTATTAATAAAATTGGAACGAATTTTCTATGCTAAATATATCAATCTATCAATCAATTATATCTTAATTTGCTCAACTAAGCATTAGTTAGTTTAATTGAATTTAGCTCTATTAAAAAAACCCAATGTAACATGATAACCTTTATAAGTTATAAATGTGTTCCTTTTTAAAAAGTTAGACATTTCTTTCTCATATACCTGATCTATGGTGATTCCTCAACTAAATGTTAAGTTACCCTGTTATGCCACTTCTATGTGTATCTACGAATTCAGTTGCTCCTGTGGAGAAAGCTATATTGGGCGCACTACCAGGCAACTCAACCAAAGAGTTAGTGAACACCTCCCTTCATGGTTTGGAAAAAGTAATGTCAAGACAATACGCAGCTTGGTTCTATCACACTTGATCGATAGCGGTCATGTAGTGGACAGAAACAAGTTATTTAAAGTTATTTATCGTATTCCTACTAGTTTTCCTTATGGTGTTCGATCTCGTCTCTTACACATAGCAGAAACTATAGGAATTCAAGCCAGCAATCCAAGTCTATGTGTTCATAAGAAATTTGTAACACCCTTATCTCTTCCTTGGCCTTAATAAATGAAATTATTCATTATTATTTTCCACACTCTTTGTTCGTTCACTTTTCTTCACACCCTCCCAACCTTTTCTCTCTCGCAAATACACGCTTCACGGTCTAATTATCTGAACACTTTTTATTACGTAATCTTATAATTTTTATAAATGTTATCTCACTGTATATATTTTCAATCAATGACCCATTTCCTTTTATGTAACACTGATTTAAGCCTTTATTATTCTGATCAAAAACTAGTACACTTATCATCACACTATCAATTTGTACTTTTCACATATTATGTAATCGTTTTATTCATCGTTATCATTGACTCATAAACCACCTTGATTGGTTTAATATGCATATAAATATTACTATATATTAGAGTAAATCCTGATGAGGATCTAATCGAAAATAATATTGTTCGCTTATATACATTCTAAAATTAAACTAGACTAGGACTAGTAGTTGAGTAAATGCTGTAGAACGTTGATTTGATATAGGAAGAATGCTAATCCAAACATCGTCTCAGTTTAACCTACTTATTCAACTTGATTTAATGTTTCAGTTGTACAGAATGTATGTAATTTTAAGCGAACATAAAAGTATGATGTGAAGATGGTTGTCCATATTGTACATGATTATTCCAGTTCATAATCGCGATGCTACTAAATCACATTCATGTTCTGAATGACATAAGCTGTTTTGAATATGTCAATGAAGAGTATCTCTTACTATTACAATCATCTATGTGTTTTATGATCTATCAATGAATTGTGGAAATTCCGTTACCAATTTTTCTTTTAAAATCAGTCTTTATAATATACTACTAATTAATGTGTTTTAAGCGTATATATTTGTTTTACAAAATAAGTATCGAAAAATATTATTAATATTGAATGAAAACACTATGAGACTCATCAGCTGATAAATCCGATAAATCTAATTGAATGCTTGATTCGGTCTCCTAAGCTTTTCTGGTAACTGTTGGGCTAAATCTATACTGCGACTTTAGCACTAGAGAAAAGGTGTGAAATATGAAAAAGAACTCTTTACTCCAAAGTTCTTTTGTGTACAGAAAATCTAGGGTATTTATAGCCTTTCAAATAGCCTTGGGCTTTCGGAAAGTTCTGGAACCCTTCTAAACATAATAGCAGGATAGGTAATCATCCAATCAGAAGTGTGACATGTGACTTTTCACCTTCCAGATGTTTCTGAGAAACTCCTATTGAATACTGATTGAATAAAATGTTTCTCAACGTTTTCAGGACCGTATTAGGCGTTTTTCAAGAAATTTTCTGGATCTCCTCAATAAAATCAATTAAAATTTTAAATAATTAGTTCATTTCTGCTTGTTAATCGATATTCTAACCGTCTCATCCTGTATAATTCTTACCATCGTGAGTAATAATTAAGCCTTACATTCAAATTTTAATTCTACCGGTAAATGAATGACCTATAAAAATTCTTTATTCCATTCAAATCTACAACATCAAATTATAGTTAGTACGTAGATAACATTGTCTCGTCACTATTAAAAACTAATCCCAATCTAATTAATTGAATGTTAGTAATCAAAGTTTATTCATCCCCATTATTTGAAAATATCGTTTTGATGATGTATATAATCGAGACTTTAAAATTGACAATACCTAATTGACTATTTGATCCTATAAAGTATGAAACTTCTTTGCAAAGTGTATAGAAATAATCGTTAATGCTTTTTCTTTCTCTCCCTTTACCTTTTCTAACTGCCTATTTTAGTTACACATATCTGGACGAAGTGAATTTATCACAAGTAGTGGTGTATTAAAATCTGTTCATTTAGGTGACATACAATTACATCAAAATATTGATAAACAAATCGATAATAATGAACCAGAATTGTTAAATTGGCCATTAGTTAATATGCTTAATAGTATGTCAGATCTGGAAAATCATCATCATCCACAGCAACAAACGCATAAAATGCAAATACCAAATTTAAAACCAAATAGTCAGTATAAAATAACTATTCGTCCAATTTATCGTGCACTTATCACAGAGGGTAATATAGGCGCTAAAGAAGGTATCCCAGTAACTATAATCTGTCATACCGAATGGAGTGGTAAGCATGTCTTCGTTATATTATTATTACTATGTTAATATCCTATTTTGGGTATTTCTATAGTATCAGTCACTTTTTCATACTCAGTTTGACAATTATTCAAATAAACTGCGTAAATATCACATTTTATTTATAGTATAAGACTTAAGTGACTATCGACCAAGTTGTACACTTAATTAAGTATTTTTATTATTTCTTATTATATATTATTATTAGCTTTATTAAATATTATATTTCTGGTAGGATATAGAATTTTCATGGTTGAATTCACGAATCGATTAAGGTTAGACCACCAAGGAAAATCTGGAGGCACTGGATGGCCGTTTCGTCCTAGTATGAGACCCTTTAACAGTGCGGAACTCGAACCCAGGGCCTTCAATCTCGTGTGTGAACGCCTAACTTCTATCTTGACCACTGGATCGGCATCTAACGATATTAATGTCTAACAACAACTAATCCACAATAGGATGAAACGGCAATCCAATGCTTCCAGTTTTCCAATGTTAGCCTAACATCAATCAGTTCATGATTTAAATCAAAAACTTAATAATTTCCATAATCCTATATTGATATTAGGCGTTTCAATTATCTTGGATATTATCATTAGTAAAGTAATTTTATTGAAATTATACGAGAAAAGAAAGCATTAATGGAATGTTTATCTTAGAACAACTAAATAGCGCAAAAATGGTATATAATAACATATATACATTTGTATATATAAAGATTTCCTAGATTTCTAAAATAAACCATCTGTTTTATCGTATATTATTATTATTATTAAACTGGCAAAATGCATTGAATGATTCACCTTTGATTAAATAAACAAATTGATTACAGAATAACTATAATATAATATACATATTTCAGTCTTTTTCAATCATAGATTTATATTCATAGTTTAAATCATGAACTCATCTTAGTCTAAATTCAGTTCGTTAGCGTTACAGTACAACCGTCATTCATTGTCAATAGAAGTTAACCGTCTCACATCTGACAGATTTATGTGTAATTATAATGATCGCTTCTTCGATAGAATAAGCTCAAGAATTTAGAATATAATAAAAATCATAAAACCGTTATTACAATGAGGATTAGATCTATTTCTTAGATGTAGTTAATGATATTGTGTTTAGAGGTAGTTGATAAGAAACTAAAAGATCTGGTTTTTGAGTTTGTTAATATTCGTCAACAAGGCACACCTAGAATATTGGGCCAACTGGTGCTTTTTGATGGATTCAAATTAACATAACTCAGTTTCACACTCTCAGATGTTTCCACTGATCTATTCGGGTCATGACTTTTCTAATGATGAAACTAAATGATGTATTACTTTACTATTTCAAGTAACAGTTTCTATGTAAACTGTAATCACTGCTAATGAACTAATATCAATCAGTTTTATAATGATTGATTCAATTTCGAATATATTAATTTACATGTTAAGTAGAGGTTTACAAATGCCCTAGTACGGTTGAGGGTGTGGAGAGTTAGCTCTTCTTCTCGAAATGCTCACACATGGACACGCGTATACAGTCACTGCCACAGAAGTCCTAATCATTTCTCGCGGCAGGGGTGTTGTCTAGGAAATTAAGAGGACGAAAAGCGAATATCCGGTGTGTTAACGGGATTGGTGAACACAGAGGATCCACCTAGGGGAGTCGGAAAATCCTGATCCCAAACCAATGGTGCACATGATCTCCAAGATCCTGAGGAAACAAATGGCGTATTGATCTATTGTTGGTCACTAGCTAACATGGGACTGCATCTCCTAACGTTACCCCACTGCCTTGTGGATTAGACCTTAATGTCAAAGGCTCGGGGTGTGGCCCCCTAAGGAAACCGCCTGCTTTGATTTGGACTACCAGGCAGTATCCCAGCCCTCACATAAATCGAATGATTCATGTGGTGTCTCCTTGTATCAATGTTTATATATTTAAATAAATAGTAACGTTAACTATTGGAGAATTAACGATACGGTTTGACTCCCAGTGTGTTCAAAGAGGAATTCAAATTGACGACTTCAATATTATAATCAGTTACTCTATTAAAGTATGTTTTATTCATCAAGTCATTACTTCACTACTGATATTTGCTTCAACTATTAAATATCTCCATTTCAAAATTTGATTGACATAAAACTATAAATTAGATTCTAGAACTTATCAATAATGTTGTTGAACAACATAGCAATTTAGAATCAGCTAATGAATCTCAATTCACTAAGCTACATGGTGTTATTATTCAATTGTTCACTGTTATAGTAAAAAAACACAACAAGCATGTCCAAAGAATATTATCACTGATAGGTTACTATTCTTATATTATATTATATAAAATTATTTTTGAATGCTTTTCTTTCTAGCACCAGAATATATAAAACAACCAGAATTACTTGCAATTTATGCAGGTCCTTCAGATCCTCAAGGACCAACTTCAATAATTGAAGTAAAATTACATCGTGTATCAGAAGAAAATGGTCCTATACATAATTATTATGTGATTATATCACCAGAATTGAATACAATAACATCGAATAAAAATATAATCAATAATATTGATCCATCTGATTATGATTTGAAAATTTTATCACAAAATAATGATCTACCAAGTAATCAAGCACCTTATTTAGCTATAGCACGACATACAATAAATTTATTTAAACCAAATCATGAAACAGCAATCATTATATTAGGTAGTGAAGAGATAGATAATTTTGTTTTGGAAACACAATACTACTTAAATACTATAACTAATAGAAATCAAACCTATGATAGAAATTTAAAGAAAACAATTGATCTAGGATCATATATTCATGATGATATATCAGATATACATGAAGATAATAGTCATATTAGTAAAAATAATGAAAAAAAACCTTATTATTCCAATTTTAATAGTAATCTATTTATGAAAACTATACAAGTAAATAATAAACGGCTTTTTCAATCTACCATATATCGTGTTGCTTTGAGAGCATGTTCACAGGTAAGTAATGGTATAAACAATTTGTTCCATGTATACTATTTTTCAGTAGTAAATTGTTTTAAACATGAATGTTGATGTTATATTAAAATTTAAGTTTATATCATTAATAGCCATGAATTAATTTTAAAACAATTACCAAATTAAGATAGATGTGTAACTTCTTATGATTAGTATACTAGACGAATAATCATATATTCATCTTTCTAAATAGAATAGCATAAAGGAGAAGTTGACAAACGTTTTATAATATGGCTTCATGAATACCAACTTGAACATCTTAATGGTTTTAATGTCATGAAAAACTTAAATAAGCGATTTCTTCATTTAAATAGTTGAGAAGCAAGTTTATCAAAGAAACTGCTAGTATTGTGGTGTGAGTTACTTATGTCCACATAAGTAGTATATAACGGTGGTCAGACATAGAATGTATTTCAGTAGAAGGTCGATAAGGAAAGAACGGGAACGGAACTCAATTGGTATGAAAACGCATGAACAATGAAATCTGAGACAATGGGTTGTTATTTGCAACAGGAACAGTCAAGTTTGAGATGATGGATTGATATTTTGCAAATTAATTTTGTGGTTCTCAGATTTTATTGGAATGCTCTGTAATTTCGTGTTAAATACATTCGATTGTCCCCACTGGTGTTCTTGTTCACTACAGTATGAGATTTGATCCTTCCGTATTTCTTCTTCATTTCTTTATAGGGTTTTATGTAGTCTATGAAATCTTCATAGTTTTAATAACGGATTGATCTTACCTAGACAATTATTAGAAACCACGATGCACTTAATAGCTATTTCGTTTTAGGACGCAGCTCTCAGTAACTCTATTTTAATGAATTGGCGAATAGCTATACATTCAATCGTCGTTGATAGGTGATAGAAAGTGAACGATCAAATTGAATAATTTGGTGAATGAATCATAGTTATATTCTTGTTTATTATTTCTTTCATTCGGTTATCATTAAATTTGAAACAATCTGGTTTATAAATTATTTTGGCTGGATATTGACAACAATGTTTTTTCAAAAATCAATATAAAGTGTTTGACGCATTCGGAATAGATAACCAGAGGTGACAGCATTTTAAAATGCATCACTATTAGTATCCCTGACCGTTGTTGCTACCTTGACGTGGTGGTCGGGCTTGCCTATCGTGATGAAGCAACTGAGCTATACTGGCTGGAACAACCATTTCTCAAGGTCCTACCATGCCAGACAGGTTGGTTGAAGAGCGGTAAGACTAAAAGCAACAAAACCAAGGTTCGAAGGCGAAGTCGTACTGCTGACTGTACAGAGGTGTGACAGCAGTAAGGTGTTTCATTCAGACAACCAGCATAACAGCGATGCTGCCTTCTGACAAGGAGGGGTGGGGTTAGAAAAGGTCGACCCTATAAATGCACACCTCGACTTATCCCACGGATATCCGTCTCCGGCGGTAAGGTCTCAACAAGTACGGAGCTAACACAAAAATTACTCATAAAAAGGTCGTGTGTGACCGAGCTCAAGCAGCTGTCCCTTGGGCACTGCGGTCACGCTCTCAGGTCATCAAGTCCACTTCTAATCCAATTTCTTTTTCAGGCACCTCCAGAAGAACCCTTCCACGGTGTGGGCAACCGGGAAGTGATAACCGCCCTCATACCTCTAACAGCACTCAAGACCACTGTATTCATAATCAATCTACCTCTTCAATTCGTATTATTCCTCTTACATCGACTTTCAAATCTAAACTCTCTCTTTCAGCTTCCTCCTCAAGTGTCACCACAGCCAATGATTCTAGTGCGCAAAACACTGTCCCAGGTCTACTGAAACCTCGCTCCAAACTACACATTGGAGCCTTCAACGTACGCACACTATGCCAAATCGGTCAGCAGGCTTCCTTGGCTAAAACTTTAGAATCTCGTACGATTGATGTATGCTGTGTCTCCGAAACACGCATGCAGGATCCTAGTGTGGTCATTCACTTGACCTCGCCTCGGCAAAACGGAGTGCCGACGAGATACGCCCTCCGTGTATCTGGCGACCCGATGGCTAGTTCTCGTGGACTTGCAGGTGTAGGCATAGCACTAAGCATGAGGGCGGAACAAGCGCTATTATAGTGGGTCCCCGTTAATAGTCGTCTATGCGCTGTTCGGCTAAACGGCTCCGTAAGAACTCGAAAAAATAGGGACACACGTCGTTGCCTTTTCGTCGTTTCTGCCTACGCTCCCACTGACTGCAGTTCGGATGAAGTGAAAGGTGAATTTTACAGAAAGCTGTCTGAACTTCTTCAGAAAGCTAAACGTTCAGACATAGTACTCGTAGCAGGCGACTTTAATGCCCAGGTAGGTAGCTTAAACGAAACAGAAAGACATTTAGGTGGGTATTTTAGTATTCCGGCACAGAGAACAGATAATGGTGATCGTCTGCTGCAACTGTGCTCAGACAATCGTTTATTTTTAGCAAACACAAATTCTAAGCATAAGGAGAGACATCGTCTAACATGGCGACCCCCTGCACCAAACCAACGATGGACTCAAATAGACCATATTGCCATCAGTCATCGTTGGAGAGGGTCGATAGAAGATTGTCGCTCATTCTGGAGTACCTGCTTGGACTCCGACCATGCCCTAATACGAGCACGCATCTGCTTGCGCCTCACTGGACGCACAAGAGCCACACAAAAAAGACTCATTAGAACCGAATCGAGTAATGAGAAAGCCAAAAGTAGGTTTCAGGAACAACTGAGGTCACACTTAGTTAGTTCTGAAAACGAGGCTGACCCCGATGTTGGTTGGAAAGTTATACAGGCAGCTGTGGAAACAGCAGTGACATCTACTAGTGATTTAAACCAAATGGTGACAAAGAACCAATGGATTTCTTCAAGGTCTATTGCACTGATAGATTCTCGCAAACTCATCCCATCAGGTTCTGAACACGATGAAGAGCGTAAAGAAATCAGATCTAGGTTAAGCAAAAGTCTAAGGAACGATCGTGAGCAGTGGTGGGCAACGAAAGCAAAAGAGATGGAAAAGGCGGCGGCTATAGGGAACACAAGACAACTCTACAGATTAATAAAAGAAACTGGAATTAATAAGTCAAGTGTAAGTCAGACTATTTCGGAAAAAGACGACACTCTCATCTGCTCCCAGTCCAGACGTTTAGAACGATGGGCGGAACACTTTAAGGAGCAGTTTAGCTGACCTTCAGCTACTCTACAACTACCCTCTATTCCCAGACAGTATGAATGAAACATTGAAGTAGGTCCCCCAACTCTAGCTGAAGTTCAAAAAGCTATAGCTAATCTGAAACGAGGAAGGGCAGCTGGTCCAGATGGATTGGCCCCAGAGGTCTTTAAAGATGGTGGTCTAGTTTTAGCGATTAGGTTGACTAATACTTTAGCTAAAATCTGATGGAAATAACGCTCTCATCGACTAAATTCTCGGGTATTGATCTCCTATCAGGAGGTCAACTTATCGACTTGGAATACGCAGATGACATAGTCCTGTTTGGTGAAGACGCTGATGAAATGCAGAGTCTTTTGGTAGCACCAAGCAACAATGTCAGAATGTTTGGGATGCGCTTCTCCCCCTCTAAATGCAAGTTATTGCTTCAGGACTGGTCTGCGTCAACACCTGAACTAAGGATAGGGGGTGAAGTAGTCGAACGCGTTGACAACTTCACTCATCTTGGAAGTCTGATCAGCCCTAATGGGTTGGTGTCTGACGAAATCTCAACACGGATTCGAAAAGCTCGTTTGGCCTTTGCCAACTTACGTCATCTATGGCGAAGGCGAGATATCCGTCTATCAATTAAGGGACGAGTATACTGCGCGGCAGTTCGTTCCGTTCTACTATACAGCTGCGAGTAGAAGATATTCGTAAGTTACTAGTATTTGACTACAGGTGCCTTAGAAATATTGCGGGTATGTGCTGGGATCACCGGGTAAGTAATAGTGAAGTTAGACGCAGGGTATTAGGGAATAATGATAAGTCAGTTGATGAGGTTATGAATCTTCATCGACTGAGATGGTTGGGCCACGTGTTACGTATGCCTGAACACTGATTACCACGGCGTGCAATGCTAACCGGTGTTAGGGATGATGGGAAGAAAGTTAGGGGCGGCCAAACCAAAACGTGGCGTCAGTGCTTGAAGTCACAAACTTCTGGTCTGAGCCATGTTGGTAGATTCAGACTGCCTGGTTGGAGACTCTTGGTGACATGGCTCAGAATCGATCACAATGGAGTCTTCCTTTAAACTAAGAGATTAAAATCGCTTCATATCTTTCTTTCTACGAACTAATTCTATCTTCCTGTACTATGTCCTTATATGCAATCTTTATTCTGTATATTACCACCACTGAATTAACTACTTCTATGAATCCGGTGTTCATCTTGTTGTGCTAATGCTGTATGGCAACTTGGACCGATGCATATACGTGCCTGGTCCTACGTTGCAACTGAGTGACTGACTGACTATTAGTATCATCATCGTAGCATTCATAAATTGTGTGAGTGTAAGGTGCATATTGTTATAACTTTTGGCCTTGTGCCCTAATAATATAAAATATAATGATATCGCCCATTAGAGAACAGTGATTTATCGACCGGACCAATGACTCGTAAACCCGTACGAGCAGTTTAGAGTCGTTTTAGGTCCTTCTTCCTGACTAGCCCAGCCCGTTAAAGTCTAGAACACCAATCTCAACCTTTGCGATATCAATCATGTATTTCAAGCATACTGGGTTAATATACACAACCAAACAGACCACATATCATCACAAAATAGAAAATAACATTTGTACAAGATCTAGCCGAAAAGTGGCTATGAATGTAGGAGACTAGAATTAATTGACTGGGCATAACTCAACAACGGTAAATTGTATAATAATAGTCTATAGGTCAAAATAAAGCTTATAATAAGACAAATATGAATATTCATAGTTCAGTTACTTAACAATTATACAACAAAAATATATGTATCATATTGGTCTATAATTACATCCCAACAGTTACCATT